AAAAATTTTTATCACGTGTTTTAAGTTATTGGCCAATGTGGCGTAAAAAAATTTTACATATGAAAAAATTTTACAAATATAAAAATAAATGCCGGCCGGCCGGGTCATTTTTAAAATTTTATGTCACGAGAATCTAAAAATTTTTTTTGCCCGGCCTTAGTCATGGTTTTTTTACTCACGAGTCGCGATTTTGATTTTTACAAATACCAGATATACATATACCCTCAACATGTATATATACCATCAGCCTTCTCTAAAAAAAAACATTCTAAAAAATACTACAGTAAAGAAAAACCATGAGAGCAAAGTGGCTTAGAAGCTTTAAAAGTAAGAGGTGTGTTTTTTTTTATTTTGCAAAGTGAGTAGCTCCTAAGCAAAATTAGAACAGATAGCTCATTTGAGCCGGGGAGTTCACAAATTTTACTTAGGAGAATACTTGGATTGTTTGCTTGGGTTGGTGAAGGGGTGAAAGGTAATTTTTTTAGTGGGTAACTCCTAAGAAAATCTAGAACAGATTGCTAATTGAGCCAGGGAGTTCACAAGGTTAACTTAGGAGCTGCTTTTTTTTATTTTTTATTTATTTTTTTTTTTTATTTCTTCTTTCTTTTTATTTCTTTATTTATTTATTTTTTTTTATTTTTTATTTCCTTTTTTCTTTTTTTTATATTTTTTTCTTTACTTGTTTTACTTGTTCACTTGATAGCCAACTCAAGCAGACATCCTAACTTTGTTATTGGTAAAGTTTGCTAATGCTAAAGGAGGAATTAGCTATGTCTTCTTTACCATTAAATAAAAATTTGCACATTATTAATAATTTCTTCTCTCTCATAACAGATAATAGGTAAATGCAAAGATTTACAATCACTGACTCCAATTTCGTAATTGGAATTTCAAACCAATATAGGATTGAGAGTAATTAACAGTATGCAGCTTCTTCTATTTTTAGTTATTTATTTCAAATGTATTCATTTCTATGATTTGAAAGAAGGCACTACTGAACCTGAATTATTTTACAGCATTCAGTTGGAGAATGTTTATGATCACTGGGGCCAAGGTTTTTATTAGTTATAATCTAAGTTGGATATTTATTGGGGACTTCATCTTAGGTCTTATTCTATTATTTTAGTTAGTTAAGGTCGGTAGTAGAATTCAATATCAAAATTTTCATAATGACTTTACAAACACCCTTTATGTTCATTTTTGCTAACTTAGGGTATTCAGAAATATCATTTTTTTTGTTCTAAGCTGTGCCTTCATGGAAACGTGAATTTAAGCAATGTCAAAGATTTATTTTTTCACTTTATGTTATTTTACTACATTTACAGCAATTATTTATCATGCTGATAACATTCAATTTATCAAATTTTTAAACTGAATTAAAATAGTTTAACAATGAATGAATGTTGATGGCTTAATAAAATCAATTTTAAAATTAAGATATTTATTTAAGTATAAATAATCTTTATTAACTAAATCATAAACATATAATTGTAATCTGTAGCAGGCAGAAAATTATAATTGTTTCCTAGATTTTTTTTTTGTTTGTAGGATAATACAATGTAAATTAAATAATAATAATATTTTTTTGGAAGAAATTCCTTATTTGTATAATTTATTATTTAGTAAATTCACGTGTATTGCTGCTAAAATTCTTTAACTCATCCCTGGGCATTTTATAAATGGATAACTATCATTTTTTAAAAAATTTATAAATATTCTCATGTTATCATTATTATCTATATATACATACACAATTGATTTCATATGCACTCACATTTTATCATTATTGTCTAACATATAAATTAGAAAATATGACCAAAAATTTCTTCACCTTTTTTAATAATATCCTTTAAATATTATTACATATGAAGTAGATTCTACTATGTGAATTTCTCCCATTTCTTCAGCAAAAACTACCTAATCATTAATTTTTTTGAGGGTTACTGGACAAAATATAATAGTCTCAATCTTATAAGCTATCTTCAATACCATCAAAAATGATTTACAGGTTTTCTTGTTAAAGATAGAAAGAGGATATTTAACCTTCAAATCAAACATCAAATATATTCTAAACTGGATAAACCAATATAGTGAACATACAATAAATTAAAATTTGTTTAATGTACTTATACAATTTAAAATTGCATAAGAATATATTTAACCATCATTACTATGTATTGTAAGCTTCACCAATGTTTTCTTTTTCTTATAATTAAAGCTAGAAGCAGAGTCGGAATTACATCACTTGACTTCAAAAACTTTTAATCATAACTCTATCTAATACTAGAAACATACTAATGAAACCCAAAAATGATATGAGAGACATCATACATACATGGATGTCTCCACTATGATCGCCACCACCACCATATGATGTGCTATATTATGCACCACCACCACCACCATCACCACCATCACCACAATTTCCGCCTTTGTCATCCTTCTCCATCATGACTGCGATCCAAAAATAGACAAAATAGTTTTTAGGATCTAAATTTAATTTCTTAAGAGATCTTCCTGATGATATTTCTCTAAAATATATATACAGAGATCTTGAATGTAAACTTGAGGAGCTAATTTCACAATTTTTATAAGGTATTTAAAAGATTTAACAGCTGCCTCCACTTTCTTTCAATTTTTGGTGCTTCTTTTAAAAGTCCAATAATGTTTAATATTTAGAAATAATTTATAAAAAATGGTGAATTCCTATAGTAAGATTAAATACCAGGATAATTTATACACCTTAGTTTGTAATATCTGGTGAGAAAAAAATAGGAGAAATGGTTTTAAATTATAAAGAAATAAAAATCTGTTAAATATGAAATTCAATAAATATAAAAAAATGTACAGTGTAATCTTATAAGGGTACATAATAAATGTTTACTAATATCACTATTCTTAAAGAAAATATAAATATCCTTAGTATTGCCATTATTACGATCAGGTTTCCATTAAGTTGGATTATATCCTCCAAAAATACTATTTATTAATTGTTATAGTGTAAGAGGAATTTATTAGATATAAAAGCCCATCACAAATAATAAACTGAAGTTATCTTGTATGCAATACCTAATTTTTAAATCATCTTGAATATAATTTCAGCATGTTGAAATGAAATAATAATTTTAATTATATTTTCATTGGTTAATTTTCTGTCAATAAATCCCTATATAATTAATTCCCTTAGTAAACCTTTCTCATAAGATAATAGTACTTCATCAAAAAGTTTACAACAATGCATTCCTTTTATTGGAATTAAGAAAGTATTCTTTTATGCATTGTATCTTTTGAAACCCATTTAAGATCATGTTTCAAACCAAACGAATTAAAATTTTTTCCACTCAGTTGACTTAATTTTCAATCAAATTATAATTTCTTATTAAATTAACTGGCACTGATCAAGTAACATAAAGTACTGTTTATATATAGAAATAGCATTAAATTGCATGTAGGATCAAAGAAATCAACATGATTTGTTGTCATAATAATTATATTACCCCAGAAATTATGTGGCCATTCAAACATGCTAAAAATGCTGATAAACTAAAATGTGAATTTGTCGATTTCTATTATTTCTTTGATAGATTTTCATTACTTATACTTTTTGCATTGACAAAATTTTTGTTTATGTTTATTTTTGCATTTCTGTTATGGAGGAATAGCCGATTGTGCATCTACATCTTCAAGTATTATTAATTGATTTGACAGTACAGTGCTAAACATCACACTTAGCTCACTATCATCCTTTATCATTTAAGATTTAAATGATAAATATCATGAGATAAATGAGTTGAAATTGCATGTATTAATCTTGTTTTCCCTATTCCTGGTTTTCCATACAAAAGTATATCCCATCTATAAGACATTCCAATTTTTCATAAATTTGTTATTTATAAAGGTATCCAATTCCTTTTTCAATAAGATTAGCAGTAACTTGTTGTTTCGCACCAGGAGTCCAGGACCAATGAATTTGTTTAAATAGAAAAATTTAGTATTATAATGTAATACTAAGTAAATTAAAGATGGTTACAGTAGTTTTTTTTGTTTATAATTAGGAATTTGCCTATATTAATGATTTGACGTTTGCGATTTAATAATTTTTCACCTAGGGTGATTGAACCTATATAATTTACCCGGTGATATCACCTCATTATTAAATTTGTACATTTAATTTTATTGGCTAATTAATGAGCTGATCATTTTATATTTTGAATTCATTCTTTTTAGGTCTTTCGGTTCTTCTTTGTAATTACTATTAGGTATGTTTTTTATTTTTTTATTTTTTGTTTATTTATTACATGTAATTTCCATTCCCTACAAACTTTATTTCTCTTTTAGTTTTATGGGTTTTGTTATTACTTGGTCCCCCTGTTTATCTCATTTCGTCCCTTCTCCACTTTTGTTTTCTTTTTATCTCTTCATCTCTTTTGCTCTTTTAAGTCTTTTTATTCTTCCCTTCCTTCATTTTTTCCATTGTTTTTTATTTCCTCTTTGTTCCTTCGTCTTTTTTGCTCCTTTACACTATCCTTTGTCATTTTCATTTTTTTTCCATTCCCACTTCTCTTTACACTACCCTTTGTTCCTTTCATTTTTTTATTCTCTTTGCTCCATTTCGTCCCCCTCCATTCTTTTTCATTCCCACTTGATCTTTTTCATTCCCCCTTTGTTTCTTTCATTCCCTTTTACTCTCCTTATTTTTTCATTCACCCTCATTTTTTTGATTAATTTTTTATTAATTATAAACTTTATAATTATTTCTTATTTTATATTGCGTCAATCTTAAACTTATAACCAACTTAAAAAAAATATTTGAATAATTAAATGTATTAGAATCTATTCATTTCATTTATTATTATTCTTTTGGTACTTAATTTATCTAAACCAGAATTAAAATCTTTATTCAAAAATCTGGTAGCTATTTAGAGAATTTCGGGTATGGATTCGGTTATAATAATCTACAATTTTTTCAAAAAAATTGATATTTTACATATTTTATAATTAATTGATTGATTTTTATGAATTTGCAAATTCAAACTATTTATCCAGCGTTCAATTTAATTGAAAAAATATTACTCATCTTTCTATCAACGTCGGTCAATTTTCCTATATCTGATATGTTATATTGATTTTTTTTAAAAAAATAATAATTTTGTAAATATATTTAATATAATATTTTATTTTTTATTTAATAATAAAAAAAAATTTAAAAAAAATTTGGGGGAAGAAAAAGGATAAAGAAAGAAATCAGTTTAAAAAAAGGGAAATTTCTGAAAAAAAAGGGAATTCGAAAAAAAATAAGTATGACAATAATCCAATCCAAAAGAGTGAAAAAAAATTTTTTTTTAAAAAAAAAAGTAACAATTTTCTGAACTTTTAGCCCAATTTTTTGGGGGGTTTTTTGGTTGAACGCCAAAAATGACCAACCAAAATTAGATAATTTCTGTTTACGTGACAATTAAGAAAAAAATGTATATCAATAGAAGGAGTTCGAACTAAATTTCATCTAAAGCAGTTCAATTTGCGATCGAAAATAAAAAAATTTTATTGGATAATTTTTGTACAACAAAATCCGACCGAAAAATGCAACCGACCGGAAATGAACAGGGCAGGGCCAATACGGTCTAAAAAAAAAGATCGAAAAAAAATAAAAAAAATAAATTGGTCTTAAAAAGACCAAAACAATGGGGATTATTCAATAAAAAAAATATAATTTTTTCGGTTTGGGAAAAAATTTCAACCTAAACGAGAAAATTTTTTTTATATTGTGTTTCTTTACTTTATGTAAATAAGATTATCGATAAAACCTTCAAAATATTTAATATTGGTCAAATGACTTATATGACTGACTGGTCATTTGAATTTCAAATGACAAATGACAAATGACTTGTCATTTAATTCATTTGTCATTTCAAGTCATTTGCCGAACACTGTTTTGTCCTTATGGGTACGATTCATTATATGATAATAGAATTTATAGTTTTGAATATACAATAAATAATAGGATTTAAGCATGAAGCATTAAAATACTTCGCGTTAAAATAAAAATATAGTAGAATATCTGATATGCCAATGTAATTTGTAAAGAAGCTAATTTAACAATTGAATAAATCTCTCAATACTTTTTTATAATACAATCAATTTAACTGTTAATACCTATAATTTTCAATACAACCATTGAGATGTACCATAGATAGTAAAATTCTGCCTGCGGATGAATTTTTGCCGATTTTTAACTTCGTGATATGAGAAAGGTATCACCCATCAATCACCTCGTTCCGGTATCCTGTGCCACACGCACCACCTTCGAATGTAAAGAATTTCCTCTTTACAAAAACTTTCAAGTTTTCTAAACGTCTTCTCTACTCCATAAAAATTTGTATAGAGCATCGCTTAACACACTTGCTGAATTGTTATCGGAAAAAAACTAAAATATTTCACTTTAGTTGTATAACGTCTTTGTTCGATTTTCTCTATTACTAATAAGAAAACTTCAAAAAAAAAAATTATAATAAGAAATAAAGGAAAAACAACGGTTGGATGCAATAAAGAGTGAGTAAAATTTCTAAAATAACCACCTTGCATATAACCTTTCTGTCTTTTCCACCCTGAAAATTTTTGTTCAAGTGATCGACAAATTATTAACTAGTGAATCGGAAAAAATACGGCCCGAAATTTTTTTTTTTTTGTTGTAACCTATTTTTAGTTAAAATATTCCTTAGTAGCTCATTTATGAAACATTATTAAAAAGAAATTTTTTGTCAAAAAAAAAAAAAATTCGTCTAAAAAAAAATAAAATATTTTTTTTCCTATAATATATATTTCTAAATAACAAATGGCAACTGAATTTAGTAAATCAAACATCTCAGATAAACATACTAAAACAATAAACACCAAAAATTGTTCGTATTGCAATAAACCTTTTGCTGAAAAATCATGGTGTAAAGAATGTATTAATTCTTTAGAAAATTTAGTAGAAAATGGCGATAAAGAAGCAATGCTTAATTTAGCTGACTGTTATAAAAATGGAGAAGGAACAGAAAAGAACTTAGAAAAAGCCTTTCATTGGTATCAGAAAGCAGCAGAAAAAGACCATGTTAAAGCAATGTATCATTTAGCTGGTTGTTATTATTTTGGAAAAGGAATAGAAAAGAACTTAGAAAAAGCCTTTCATTGGTATCAGAGGGCAGCAGAAAAAGACTATGTTACAGCAATGAATAATTTAGCCAAATGTTATAGAAATGGAGAAGGGACAGAAAAGAATTTAGAAAAATCCTTTCATTGGTATCAGAAAGCAGCAGAAAAAGATCATGTTACAGCAATGTATAATTTAGCCATATGTTTTGATAATGGAAAAGGAATAGAAAAGAACTTAGAAAAAGCCTTTCATTGGTATCAGAAAGCAGCAGTAAAAGACCATGTTAAAGCAATGTATCATTTAGCCAGTTGTTATTATTTTGGAAAAGGAATAGAAAAGAACTTAGAAAAAGCCTTTCATTGGTATCAGAAAGCAGCAGAAAAAGACCATGTTACAGCAATGTATAATTTAGCTATATGTTATGATAATGGAAAAGGAATAGAAAAGAACTTAGAAAAAGCCTTTCATTGGTATCAGAAAGCAGCAGAAAAAGACCATGTTACAGCAATGTATAATTTAGCTATATGTTATGATAATGGAAAAGGAATAGAAAAGAACTTAGAAAAAGCCTTTCATTGGTATCAGAAAGCAGCAGAAAAAGACCATATTACAGCAATGTATAATTTAGCCAGTTGTTATTATTCTGGAGAAGGGACGGAAAAGAACTTAGAAAAAGCCTTTCATTGGTATCAGAAAGCAGTAGAAAATGGTAATAAAGAAGCAATGTATAATATAGCAATATGTTATAAAAATGGAAAAGGAACTGAAAAGAATTTAGAAAAAGCTTTTCATTGGTTTCAAAAAGCAGCAGAAAATGGTGATGTAAAAGCAATGAATAATTTAGCCGCATGTTGTGAAAATGGAGAAGGAACAGAAAAAAATTCAAAAGAAGCATTTTATTGGCATCAAAAAGTACTAGAAGAAAGTAATAAAGCAAGTTCTAAAGATAAAGTTGAATTATGTAATAAATGCAAAAAACCACATATTGATTACCCATGCCATCAATGTAATGAATGTAAACAACCATACATTGATTACCAGTGGTGCCAACAATGTAACGTTAAACGATTTCAACAAGATTTTACAAAGTGGACTAGTGAAAATGTATTTATTGATAAATTTATTCAAGAGATACAACTAAATGCTAAAAATAGTCATGAAATTTTAGAGTGGATACCTTATGATAAATTGTCAAGTATTAATTATCATGATAAAGGAGGATTTAGTGAAATTCATAAAGCTATCTGGTCAGATGGACCCATTTTTAGTTGGAATAATGATAAACAACAATGGAATAGACAGATGAATCATGAAGTCATTCTTAAAATACTTAATAATTCATCAAATTTGAATAGTAAATTTCTTGATGAGGTATAGTATTTGATTTAATAATAAATTTTAGATTCTTTTATAAAAATTTAATAACTTCTTATTATTTATAGTGGAAATATCATTATAACTGTCAGAAAATGTCATTTTCAAAATTTATTCAATTCTTTGGTTTTACCCAAGATCCGAATAATTTAAATCATATTATAGTAATGAGTTATGCAAAAAAAGGAAATTTGAGAAAATGTTTATCTGATATAATTAAATTTAAGTGGCAAGACAAGTTACAATTATTGAAAAAAATTATATTAGGACTTAAAGTAATTCATGAGTCAAATTTAACTCATGGTGATTTTCATGATGGTAATATTTTAATGTCAGATAATGAGTCATTTGTTATAGATTTAGGATTATATAAACCTGTGAGTGATTTGCAAGATTCTGACAATAGCGAAGTTAATGAAATTTATGGAGTTTTACCTTATATGGCGCCTGAAATATTAAGAAATAAACCCTATACTACAGCAAGTGATATTTATAGTTTTTCAATGATAATGTGGGAATTTATATCAGGCATTCCTCCATTTTATGATAGAGCACATGATCACCACCTTATCTTAAGTGTTTGTGAAGGTGAACGTCCTGAAATTTTTGAAAATACTCCAAAATGTTATACAGATTTAATGAAAAAATGTTGGGATACAAATCCTTCCAATAGACCAACCATAGCAATACTTGAAAATATTGTATCTGAGTGGAGTAGATGTATTAATGAATATGAACATTATAAAAGAAACAGAGATGGAAATTATGTTTATAATATATCTAATATTGATAATCAATTAAAAAATGATATGTTAGAATTTGTAGAGGCAAACAAAGTTTTAGTACAAGAACAAGCAAATACTTCTATTATACAATCTCATCCACAAGCATATTATACAAGTCGCAATGTTACTAAAGAAATAGAAAAGTCTAAGAATGTTAATGAAATTTTTGTTTAAGAAAGTTCAGAGTTTTCATAATTAAAATTTAAGATCAATAATAATAATTCCATCATTTATTCTTTACAGAAATCCATGATTTGTTACCATGCAGTTAAATGATTGCTAATAAATCACAACAATAGTATCAGATATGTGACTATTACAATAGTGTTGGACAATCTTGTAGAACCATCAATGATATGCTTTTTTGTAGTCTTTCAAAGATGTGATATGGTCTTAAATAGATAGAAAATATATTTCTTTGATGCATTAGATATTATTTTACTGATTTCTTTATTTGTTTTTTTTTGACATATTTATTTATTAAATAAAGTTGTGTGATAAAATTCATTTTAATAAAAAGCTGATTATATATTATTAGTAAAAATTTTTACTAATAAATTACTAATAATTGTAAAAAGTGTATTATCTGTTATACCACAATAGAAATATTTGCTATATAAACATATAAAAATAATAAATATAATACAATGTATTGTATTTTAATATACACCTGTAGTATCTTTTACAAACAATCACTAACTTTTTGAAATATTATTATAAACCTAGATACAGTGACTTTTAAATTATTTTATAAAATTTTTAAAATATGGACAAAATATATTTGAATTATTTTTGGAATTAATATATTAAAATAATAAGGTTAATTACACTCAATAACAATTTGAATTATTTTTATAGAACCAGATTAAAATCATTGCAGATTTTATAGTGTGATCGTGTCTATATAATAAAACACTTGTATAATATTCTGCTGTTTTCCGGATTGTACCACCTACGTGAGCCTGTCAAATGGTCTCAATCGAACATATATATTATTGCCTAAATGCTATATAAAAAATATATATTATCATTCTATGAAAGTACTTATTAATGACAATACTTATGACTAATCAATTGGTGGATAGTGGACATTGTATAAAAGATAGTTATAAAAAACCAAATCAGAGGATCTCCTTCAGGCCCTATAAAAAATTTTTTCAGAAAAATGATCCTGTGGCTGAGTTTCTTCAGAAATGAAAACTAGAAAAATGATCATTTATTAAAATTTTTTCCAGAATTTTTTTTATAGGAAGGTATAACTAATTAGTTAACATTTTATATGTGATTAATTTTTTAGGGTATTGCTAAACATCACCGGTGGTGATGGTCACCGATGGTGAAATTATGATGTAATTCCGGCCAGTATTTTATTAGGTTTTTAATTCCGGTCGAAAATACATCTTAATGCTGGTACGGTGACCATCACCGCCGGTGAGCTTTAGCAATTTACAATTTTTTATATGTAAATAATCAAAATATTTTTTTTTTTTTCTTTAGAATCTGTCCTGCATTATGAGATAAGGTGTAATTGATCCATGGAGTGGGATGGAAGTTTAATTTAAGAACCAAATCATATTCATCATCATCATGTGTTCAAACTTATATCCAGGAATTTGTGAATTATTTCAAATTAATAAAATTTGGAACTTACAGTGCGCAGAAAAATATCGTACAAAGATCACGTTTAATTGATCACACACGTTATATTTGATTGGATAATGATCACATGACTGAAAGTTATTAATTTGAGATTTTCAGTACTAATTTTGGCCCAAATTATGAATTTTGTTCGCAATTAAGCATGACCGGATTGACTCTAAATCCACTAGTTGATGATCATCATAAATATAAATAAGGCTTGTGAACCTGCATATGGCTTGAATCTGCAGCCAACCACTTTTTTGTAACCGCGAAAAAAATATATATAAGGAAATTGTAACAAAGGATTATTTTTTAGAAATTTTTTTTTTTTTTTTAAAAAAAAAAATTAATTATGGATGGGGATAAATTTTTACCAAAATTATCACAAAATTTACTCAAAATTTTGGACGATGAAGAATATTATGATATTACAATTGAAGTTGGCAATGACCCTTACGTAAAAATATTCCGTGCTCATATGGTAATTCTAAACTATCGTTCTACTTATTTACAAAGGATTTTATCAACAAGTAGAAATAATAACAATGGAACTTTGGTACATATTAAATTACCAAATATCTCACCCGAAATTTTTCAAATAATTTTGAGGTAAATTATACAATAAATAAGATGTTACTGTATTTACAAATATATATATATACATATATTGTTTTAATTTATATATAATGTTTTATTTCAGATTTATTTATGGAGGAAGACTTTCTTTGGAGGAATGTGATTCTTTGGGTATTATTAAGATCTTGACTGCTGCTAATGAACTTAATCTTCAAGAATTAGTTAATCATTTACAACTTTATATAATTAAAAATAATAAAAATTGGATGGACCAAAATTTTGATCTCATATATCAGACAAGCTTTGAAAATCATTCTTTTTTGGAACTTCAAAAATATTGTACTGACTTTATTTCAAGAAGACCTGATAAGATACTTAAATCAATTAGTTTCTCTTCAATTTCAGAAAAACTTTTAGTTTCAATTATTAAAAGTAATAATCTTCATATGAGCGAAATTCAAGTTTGGAAATATGTAATTAAATGGGGACTTGCTCAGAATCCCGAACTTCCTTCTGATCCTGCAACTTTTTCAAAAGAAGATTTTAATGTATTAAAAAGTACTTTACAACAACTCATTCCTTTTTTTGAGTTTACTAAATTAACTCCTAAAGAATTTTCTGAAGAAGTATTACCTTATAAGAAAGTTTTACCAAAGGAATTATACAAGGATTTATTGAACATTTTTTTAAATTCACATCCTGATAGCAGACCAAATGATAAATTAAAAATTCAAAATATTGATTCAAAAATTATTACATCTCAACATGCTGAATTAATTTCAAAATGGATAGATAAATTAGATATTATGGATAAGTCGACTTCTTTGTACGAATTCAAATTAATTCTTCGTGGATCTCGTGATGGATTTGAATCTAAAATATTTCATGAGATTTGTGATGATCGATCTTGCACTATAACAATTATTAAAGTTAAAGGAAATAACCAAATTCTTGGAGGATATAATCCAATTGAATGGAAATCTGATCGTAATTATTGTGCTACTAAAGATAGTTTTATATTCTCTTTTAAGAATGGAATTAATATTAATGAACATATTTTAAGTCGTGTTACGAATGAAAATTATGCTATATTTAACGATCATACTTATGGACCATCATTTGGTGGTTCTGATCTTATTTTGCGGGGGAATAGTGAACAATCTGGACATTGTATCAAAGATAGTTATGAAAAACAAATCAGAGGACCTCCTTCAGGTATAATTAATTAGTGCCTTTATTTGTAAATAACTAATAATATTTTTATATAATCTCTTTATAATTTTTATAGAATCTGTCTTGCATTATGATGTAAGATGTGACTGCTGTGACTATACTATCCGTGGAATGAGATGGAAGTGCACATCCTGTGAAAATTATGATTTATGTCAAAATTGTAAAGCCAAATCACACATTCATAATCACCCAGATGATCATATGTTCGAACTTGTGCCACATTCAAAATCTTCTAAACGTGCTCCTCGTACGTATTATTATATCTTTTTTTAATATATTGTTCTATAATACTAATTTTTTTTATAATAATTTATGACCTCTTTTTAATATCTTGTAGAATTTGCTTTGCATTTTGGCGTAGTGTGTGATTTCTGTAAAAGTAAAGTTCGTGGAATGAGATGGAAATGTGCATTTTGTTATAATTATGATTTATGTAAAGATTGTAAACTAAAATCTCAAAATATTCATGATCATCCAAATAATCATGCGTTTAAACCTATTGCATATCCCACTGGTATGTTACTGTCAAATATTTTGAATTGTAGCATTAAATTATACAAATTATAAAATAATATTTATTAATTTCATTTTCATCATCATTATAATATGAATTAGGTGGATTAAGACATTTGTCGCTAAAAAATCCTGCAATTTGTGACTATTGTGAGTTAGCCTGCATCGGTAGCAGATGTTTTAAGTGTGCCAATGGCGAATTTTTTTTAGAAGAGTACGAAATATTTCAAATTATAAAATATTAAAATATAATCTGGAATTGTTCTTTGAGCAAATATTAGATGAGAATATTCCTTTTGTAATTTGGATTGGTAAATTTTAAAAATTAGAAGAATATAACGAAACATTTATTTATCAATTTAATAAAGTTAAATTATTTTATCATTAAAGCTGTTGAAATCACAATTTGAATATAATTATTGTAACAGTATATATAAAAATAGATCGCATTTAAATTAAAGCAGAAATTTGATGTATCTATCAATGATTGATCAAAATTTTATAATTGATCGATTAATTTAATAGATTAATTTATAATTAGTATATTATATTTGGTAATATTAATAATGTTTTTTTATGATTAAAATAATGGTTGTTACGTATATGTATTCTTTGTAGTGAAGATGTACAATAAAAATATAATTTGTTTCAGCTAAATTTCGCAGTTGAAAAAAAAAATAAAATAATTAATGAGCTTCTTTTTGTTAAAATATTATCATAATTATAATTAAATATATTAAATAAATTTTTAATAATTTTAATAACTTTGAAATAATTGATAAAAATAAAAATATGACTCGAGCTCTCGATCAATGGTTTTAATCACATGATCAATGATATGTGATCAACTAAACGTATCAGTGCAGTATGTATTTGGTCAACTAATTATCAAATAATTTAAATAATTTAAATGGTGAGGATAATTAATATGGATAAATCTAATTGTAACAGCCTGTTACGCGTCTTATTTGTAACAACCCCCAATTTTATCCAATTAAAATTTAAGATCAGGCGTAATGTAAACAAAAACAAAAGATCAGTTGTGTAACTAAGACAAAGAATTTTTTAAAAAATTTCAAGAAACTGCTTATAACTTAAAATTTTGTCTATGAAACTGTCTTAAGTACATTAAGTAAAAGTTTTTCAAATTAAATTTTACATATAAAAATTTTATTTGTGAAACACATATTAAATTTATTATTAAAAAAAATAAAAAAAGGATGTTACAAATAAGATATGTAACAGGCTGTTACAAATACATTTCTTCAATTAATATAGTGTTGTTGTTCAATATGAACTGTATAATGTATATTTATAATTTTTATATGATACTTTGAAAACAAAATTTTAACTCATTTGTCAAAGGTGAGAAAAAGGTGCTAATCCTCGGAAAACTAGAATGTAATAAAAGAGTGTGTGAGTAAGATTAATATAATTAAAAATATAAAATATCTTATTTAAAATGTGAGAATGTAAAGATATAATTTATGCTGGGATTCTTATTTATGGCCTAGGATCACGGGTGCTTCACCCTTTTTGAAAACAGCACGAATTCCAATCTCTATTTTGATGTTTTTATATTCATTTATATAAAAAATTGCGTAATTCATTTCATAAAAAATAATGTATTTGATAATCATGTGTATACAAAGCTAATTATAGAAGATTTAAAATTTTGATCAATGACACTATTTAACACTTGCAAAGATTTATCTTGTGCAGTAAACAAATTAAATGATATAAAACTTTATTAACAGAGGATGTTAAATTTTAAAAAATGAATATTAATAAATAGAAAATTTCTATTTGTAACCGGTGGGTAGTGTTTCGATCCGGGTAGAAACCGTTACCCGGATAAATTAAAAAAATTATCCGGTTTTTATCCGGATTATCCGCCTCGGATAAAAATCCGGATATATCCGGATAGAAACCGAAATCCGGATAGAATTAATATTAATTTTTTTTATAGATTGGGAAATTCATGGCATATATTAAATAAAATTCATGGTATAAGTTTAATTAAGTTCCATAGTAACAAATTTGATTAAATTGGTGGCGTTTATTTAATTAAATCGTAGATCTTAAATTAAGGTTAGAAACTCTAATTTCGGCCGGCACTATGAATTTTGCCCAAATTATGCTGTAGGTTTGATTTTCCGAAATTTTTTAGAAAATGTGAACTTTTTTTTTTGTCCGTGATCATCAAGATTGTTGCATGCTTTTAGTGCACAAAATGGCTTAATATCAATAAGTCAAAATAATAAACCGAATTTTAGAATTGAAACTTAAGAAATGAATAATAATTACGATTGATTGACTCTAAAAATCAATTCTTATTTTGGGAATTGATTTCAATCCTTCACTGAATAAAAATTTAGAAAGAAAACTAATTTAAACATTTAAGAAAAACTTTTTTTTATTTTCATTATCCGGATTCCGGGTCAAAACCGGATATTTTTTAACCGGATATTTATCCGGGTAAAAACCGCGATTATCCGGATATCCGAAAAATAAAATTATCCGGGTTCAACCGGTTGGACCCGAATACGGATCGAAACACTACCGGTGGGTACCATATTTACCCAGTAACGCCACAAAAAATTTCCAACCCCACGTAATTTTTGGCCGGCATTATATGTCTCGGCCGGCATTAAGAAATTAAGCATATGACAAATAAGGCGTGACAAATAGGATTTTACACACTGAAAAAAATCCGAGTCCCTGGAATACATAGTAAAAATGGAAAACAGGAAGAGTGTGACGCCGGTGACAAATTTTTAAGATCACGTGGGTGGAAAATTTTTGGGGAAGATTGGGTACCATACCCTAATCATGTGATATATAGAAAATCCATTAATGATTTGACGTTAAAATACCGAACTATTATGAATATTAACTAAATATGTTAAGGATCAAAAGGAGAGGGGCTCGAATGACTACTGTAATTCAACAGGCCGGCTTGAATTACAGTAGTCATTCGAGCCATTATTCAAATATATTCAAAATGGTACTGAAGTTTACCTCTTGTTGGAGACTATATGTATTAAAACACCTCTTGATATTTTCCCAAGATTCAAATGACAATAATCCAATGTGAATTTCTGACGTTTAAGTTTCTCTATTTTCTGGTATTTCCTCAAGTTCATCATCAATAGCAATTTCTCCATTGAATGAACATTTGCTTTATCAAGAAAAGGCATTTCTTGAAGGTTAGATTCCATTTTATATATTAGAGATACTAGATTTCTTTACAATTAAAAGAAAAGAAAGAAAGAGAAAGTTTATTTTACAATTGATTAACTGATTTATACTTTTTCCGATCATAATTCACGTGACCATCAATATAGGGTAAGAGTAGAGATATTTATAAATAAATGATTGTAAATTTTTTAAAAGAATTTACTCTAATGTATGATAATTATTTATTGGACAATAGAAAATTTATCCACCTTCAAAAAAAGCTATGTGTTAATTAGCAAAAATCATGTGAATACCGGATAATTATATTTATAAAAAATTTATCCAATTATCTTGAAAGAATATTTTTTTTGGATCAGATACGAAATTTATCTGAAAGTTCGAATGTATTCTCAACAAATAATACTGATTTGCAGTTCATAGTTTTACCGAATCATGCTATACTAAAGTTAGCTAGGCGAGTAGATTATTTTTTAATTTGTGAAACTGCGCCTGCTTGTGTATCCATCATTTGTTGTACAATAACCATAGAAGATCTGCGGAAAATGAATATATAAGGAACTATCGGAAATTGTTATATAATATATTTTTTTTTTTTTTTAAAAAAAAAAAAAAAAAATATTATGATATTACTATTGAAGTTGGTAATGACCCTTACGTAAAAGTCTTCCGTGCTCACATGGTTATTTTAAATTATCGTTCNAAAAAAAAAGAGATAATAAATTGCGATGGATGACAATAGATTTTTACCAAAGTTATCACAAAATTTACTCAAAATTTTGGATGATAATGAATATTATGATATTACTATCGAAGTTGGCAATGACCCTTACGTAAAAATATTCCGTGCTCACATGGTTATTCTAAATTATCGTTCTACTTATTTACAAAGGATTTTATCAACAAATAAAAAGAAAAATGATGGAACTTTGGTACATATTAAATTACCAAATATTTCACCTGAAATTTTTCAAATAATCCTCAGGTAAGTAATATATAATAAACAAGTTATTATTTTACAAATATTTACACTTTTAATGTATATAAATGTTTTATTTCAGATATATTTACGGAGGAAGACTTTTTTTGAAGGAATATGATACTTTAGATATTATTAAGATTTTAATTGCTGCTAGTGAACTTAATCTTCAAGAATTAGTTAACCATTTACAAATTTATATAATTAAAAATAATAAAAATTGGATGGAAAAAAATTTTAATCTCGTATATCAAACAAGTTTTGAAAATCATTCTTTGTTAACACTTCAAAAATATTGCAATGACTTAATTTCAAACAGACCTGAAAAGATACTTAAATCAATTAATTCCTCTTCAATTTCAGAAAAACTTTTAGTTTCAATTATTCAAAGTAATAAACTTCAAATGAGCGAAATTCAAGTTTGGAAATATGTAATTAAATGGGGACTTGCTCATAATCTTAAACTTCCTACTGATCCTGCAACCTTTTCAAAGGATGATTTCAATATATTAAAAATTACTTTACAACAACTCATTCCTTTTATTAAGTTTGATAGTTTAACTTCTAAGGAATTTTCTGAAGAAGTATTACCTTATAAGAAAGTTTTACCAAAGGAATTATATAAGGATTATTGAACATTTTTTTAAATTCACATCCTGATAGCAGACCAAATGATAAATCAAAAATAATTCAAAATATTGATTCAAAAATTATTACACCTCAACACGCTGCATTAATCTCGAATTGGATTGATAAATTAAATATTACAAATAAGTCAACTTCTTTATATGAATTCAAATTAATTCTTCGTGGATCTCGTGATGGATTTGAGCCTAATAAATTTCATGAGATTTGTGATGATCGATCTTGCACTATAACAATTATCAAAGTTAAATTTAATAACCAAATTCTTGGAGGATATAATCCAATTGAATGGAAATCTGATCGTAGTTATAGCGCTACTAAGGATAGTTTTATATTCTCTTTTAAGAATTGTGATGATATTAATAATCATATTTTAAGTCGTGTTGTAAAAAAAAATTATGCTATATTTAACGATCATACTTATGGACCATCATTTGGTGGTGTTGATCTTGTTTTGCGAGGAAATAGTGGATATTGTATAAAAGATAGTTATAAAAAGCAAATCAGGGGACCCTCTTCAGGTACAATTAATTATTAATTGCCTTTTATCTGTGAATGGCCAAATATTTTTATATAATCTCTTTATAATTTCTATAGAATCCGTCTTACATTATGGTGTATTTTGTGATTACTGTAAATATACTATTCGTGGATTGAGATGGAAGTGTACATACTGTAGAGACTAAGATTTATGTCAAGATTGTAAACCCAAGTCACATATTCATCGTCATCCAAATGATCATGCGTTCAAACTTATTCCACATTCGGAGTCTGCTGAAAGTGCTCCTCGTATGTACCATCATAATTTTTTTGAATATAGTATTATAGTACGAAGATTTTCTTAAAATTATTTATGATTTCTTTATAATACATTCATAGAATTTGCTGTGCATTATGGTATAGTATGTAAGTCCTGCAACAAGAAAATTCATGGAATGAGATGGAATTGTACATTTTGTAACAATTATAATTTATGTCAAGATTGTAAATTCAAATCACCAAATATTGATAAACATCCAAATAATCATGCATTTCGACCTATTGCATATTCAGATAGTATTTCAGTATTTTTAAATCGTTTTGGTAAGTTATCACTAAATCTTTTTATACTATGATATTCACTTATTCAAATTTTACTTTATTCATTGCGTATTTAATCATCATTATAATATGAATTAGGGTTGATAGAAAATGCTATTTGTGACTATTGTGAATCAGAATGCATCAGTGGAAGATGTCATAAGTGTGCTAATGGTGAATTTTCTGTAGAAGAATACGAGATATTTCAAATTGTAAAAAAATAAAATATAATATGGACTTGTTCCCTAAACATATATTGGACGAAAATATTCCTCTGCAATTTGATTAGAAAATTATAAAGATTGAAGAAATTACTTTACTATATCAAAGCTGTTGAAACTCACGATGTATTATAGTCGAGTATAACTATTGTAACAATCTATAAAAATGAATCTATTCAAATAAAAAAAGTTATTGCAGTATCTAAAATGCTACGTTTCTGACCCTTTGGGCTAGAATTATGACAAAACAATTTTGATCAAATATTTATTAATTCTAACCCAAATTACGTTTAAAAGGGCCCAGTAAGATTGATTTGTCCATTTTGTGACTATTACTAATGAGTTATTCAATACGTTAATTAAAAATGGTTGATATTATTATATTACAAGTGATATTATAAAATATGATAATTTGGTATTGTTAATATTGTAATTTTCTATATAAAACGATATATTTAATAATTTACTTACAAAAAAAATAATATGTTGCTTGAATCTTGATTGCCGTTAATCAGGAATCAGCAATAATCTATTTTGATTGAGTATAATGTCAAATAATTTTAATTCGTTTCGAGAGAAATTTATTAATAAGTTTGAAGCATATTCTTATATGGGAATTGCTTAAAATTCAGAATTTCCTTTTGATCTTACAAAATTATGAGTAAGGATAGTTGATTATTTTTTATTTTTGGAAAACTATACACCATCTTGTAGATAGATGTTTCACAAAATTATATAAGAATTACGTAACCATTTATTCGCTATAAATAAAAATTTTTTTTTTTGCAACAGCTTCTATTGTGAAATTAGGTAAATTTTGGTTTGTAAGTGGTGATGATTTTTTAGCATACTAAACAAATAATGTCTAAGATTTTTTTTTCATCAGAAGTTAAGCTAAAAATGACCATTAATTTTATTAAGGGATTTTTTTTATCAAAATACAATTTTACTTTGCATAGATTTTACTAACTAAATTAAGTAATGTTAATTTTTTTTTTTATTGATATGTTATTTTTATTATTTCAATTTAATTAAATCAAAAAAAAGATATGAATTCCTTTTTTTAAAAAAAAAATAGTAATCCAAATATCATAATAATCAGTATATAATTACTTTAATCTGTGTCAATTGTGTCATAACGATCAAAATTTAATTTTTTTTTACCAAATAAAAAGAAAGAATTTTTTTCAAAAAAAATACTACTAATTTCTCTTCTTATATGACTTTCTTATAGTGTTGTATGATAGTCAAAAAATTTGTTTTTGTTTATAAAAAAATATGCTTGTCATTTATTGCCATTTTCAAAATTATTGACAAAATCTTATTTTTGCGATGATATCATGTGATTTTTGTATTGAAAATTGTAATCACCTTTTTACATGAATTTTTAATATTTTTATACCAGATTTTTTTTTGTGTGAATCATTAAATTCAAGATATAAATGGTACCCTACTGGCCTACTTGGATTTTTAATGGTATATTGTATTTATATTTTTATTATAGTTATTTGAGCAAAAATTGAAGTGAATCACCATTTAACGAATTCTTAATATTTTAATGTTTTTTTTTTTGATGAATCAACAAATTCTGAATTTTTTTTGTATTAGTATTATTTATAATAAATATAAAGATTAAATAGGTGAATCTACCATTTTCATGAATTGCTAATATGTTTATATCATATTTTTTTGATGAATCATCTAAATATATGTTTTATATAAATTTTTTGTACTAGTATCTATAAAATTAATTAAATCGTCATTCTCAATAAATTTTTTAATATTTTTATATTAGATTTTTTTGATGAATCATCAAATTTTATCCACGAAATCACCATAGTAATATTTTAAATTGTTTTATATGAATATTTTGATTACTTAAATAGCAGTTAATAAATAATGCTAATAAAGATACAAAATTTTGTATAAAGCATATAATAAAAATGTTATTACTTATTATGGTGTTTATTATGAATAAAATTAAAAAATTCATGAAAATGGTGATTCACTTCAATTTTTACTTAAATAACCATAATAATAATATACTATGACAATAAACTTATATAATATGCTGTTAAAAAATCAAGTAGGGTACCATTTATGTCTTGAATTTAATGATTCATATTAAAAATTCGTGTAAAGATGATGATTCATATTATTTTCAATACGAAAAATCACATGATAACACGATTGCAGAGATTATTAAATTTCTTGCCATATTTAAATTATATAGTAGTTTTTACATTGAAAGTTAGCTAATAATTGTTAATATGAAATAGCACTAGAATTTTTTATTAAATTAGACATATTTCTTTCACAAAATTAATATGATAATTTTTTTTTATTAAATTTTTTTTGCAAGCCTAATGTATTTTTATTAATAAATAATTAGTAACTAAATTCTTTTTTCTTTATTAAAGGACATAATTATCCGATCCTTTTTTCTTGACAGTCATGAAAGAATTTTTTTTGAAGATTTATTAATGGCTTAGTACATTATATAATTAAAAGCCTAAAATCTTTTCAGTCATAGAGTATTTATATTGATTCTATTATTTGTTATTAATATATATACCCATCAAAAAATACAATTTCATCTCAAAACTTCTAATCATTATTAAATTTTACTATTCATTAATATTTAAAGCTCCCTGACATGTTTAATGTTTACTTGTTTCTAAAAAAATATTTGTTCATAACGTTCAAAAAGCTTTTTTAGTATATGCAAGTATTTTGCTAAGGAATTTTTTTTTTTATGAAAAATTTCTCTACATTCATTCCTTGCAGGTAGATAATTAATCTAGAATTCATCTTGGGAAATTCTGACAAAAATCGTTCTATCAAAGAATAAAAGAATTCCATCAAAGAATAATAGAATTATAGATGCGGTGATTGGCCAGTCTTATGTGGGACTAATTAAATTTCAGCCACAATAAAAATAAAATATGAATGTATAAAATTATAATTTATGTTATACAAAACATTCAAATTTTTATAAACAACTTCAATAAATCCTTTATATTAAATTTAATTCAAAAAGATCCCTCTTGCTTTATTTTTATTGTTGACTATGCACAGTGAGTACATTACTTCTCAAATTATAGTTTTTGAAGAAAAAGAATACTCTTT